ATATTATTATACCAAATTTTATTTATATATTTTAACAATTTAAAAAAGTAGATCAGAGCTAAAAAAAAATGCAAAAACACAATCAAATTTGCCTGTGTTGGACAATCTAAGGGATAGTTCATTAAAATGACCTAATTGGGCACAAAGTGTAAAAAAAGATATATTAGTATAAAAAACAACAATGATCGTAGAATCATACTGAAGACTTATTAAGCATAATTACATTTATAAATTTAATAAGCTCTGTGTCAATTTGTTAGTATGGATTCTTGCTAAATGTCTTCTTTCACACTATATTATTAAGATATAGCAGCAAGAATTAAATAATAAAATAAGAACTATTGCATTTTAGCATACAGCCTTTAAATGTGCCTAAAAGACATGCTTGAAAAAAGAATCAATTGGTAGTTCTTATGTTACTGATCCAAAAATATAGACATGCTCATGTTCTGCTTACTTTGATAATCATTTTCTTCTTTGTAAACACTTGATATGATCTGTTCATCTATTAAAACCAAATTTTTTTAATGAAGTTGAGTGCCACTGGACTCCACTTTTTGGAGACATAAGGATCTTATTTTATTAACTCAAGGTTTAGAACCTATAGAGGAAGATGAAGTTGATGAAACATATGAGCTAGTAAATAAAAATGAACACTATATAAATATATCAACAGAACAAGATGAAGAATTAAATGATAAAGCTGATAAAGAACAGTAGAAGCAATTCAAGAATATGAGGAAGGTAAGAATGGAATTATTGATGATATAATTCTTGAGGAATTTAATCAGTCATGAAAAGAGACTAATAATCATATTGCAGAAAAACTTCAAAGATGAATTGATCTATTAAAAAGTCAGAAACAATATAAAGATGTATAGTTCTTGCAAGCAGCAAAAGATTTGATGAATGGTATGAAAAAATATTGACCAAATGTGAAACACTAAGAAATAAAAAAACACTACTAAAAACATAGAAGGATTATGATAAACAAATGATATTCTACAAAATAACATAACCTATAAATGTATTAGTTATATTATATATAATAAAAAATATTGCACTTGTGTTTATTCATATAAGAAAGTTGTAATTGTAATAATGCATTAATATTACTCTATCTTACCCAGGTAGTTAGTAAAGTAGTACTGTACTATTGTACAAATATGTACAGATGTATAATAATTAGGCAAAATTTTGATAGTACATATGATTAACATAGATTTGTAAAATTAATTTTTATAAGTCAATTATCCTCCATTTTGCACAAGAATGTAATGAATCATTAGGTGTGCCTAATAAGCATTAGTTAATATAATTATTTAGCAAATGCTTACTCACCACACCAATGATTTATTACATTCTTATGCCAAATGAAAAAGATGACCTAATCCTTTACAAATAGACCCTTTTTTTCTTTTTTAATGTTTAAGGTTAGGGCAAGTGTGAGCATTGTTCTTTCTTTATATAAGTTTATAAAAAAATTAGCTTTGTTTCAAAAGAATTTTTTTTTTTACAAGCCATACGTACTATTATGACTTCTATATGTTAATTCTGATTTCTGTACTAATTTGCTATATACTCATATTACTCTGGTTATTTGCATAGTCATTAATAAATTTAAATATAATGCAATAAATAAATAAAAGAAATAAAAAAATAAATCTTTACTTCTATATATTAATAATTTTTTATAATTTGAGATTTTAAAATAAACTTACAACTATTGTGAGCAAAACATTTTGTAGCACTCTAGATCTGGATACTATTGTTTAATATTTCAAGAATGACCTACTTTTTAATGAGTATGCCAGTATTAGCTAATAAATATAAAGTTTTTAGTAGTTAAATATAACACACATATACATTAAATTGTCTGAACAAAGCTAATCAAAGTTTTATAGATTATAAAAGAAAATGAACATGGTAATAATAATATAATAATAATTAACAAAAAGCAACTCTTTCCATAGATCACTTATACCAAACTACAAAAATATATTTAATTATTTCTCAACTTTTATTAAGTAAACCTTACTTGGCCCTTTAAGTAAAGTTATTCAGCACACTTTTCTTCTCCTAGGCGGCTGTATTTTAAGTTCCAAAAACATCCAGCTGCTGAGTAAAGTTTGAAAAACCAAAATTTTAATTTTTGTTCATTTATACAAATTTTACTAATTAAACCTATCTTCTTATCTATTTAAAAGTTGTTCAGCTCACTGAGCCGGATATTTTGATATATAGTTTGTTCAAAACAGACCAAAACATATAGAGATACAAGCAAAAAGCGAAAACAAAAACTTGCTCTTTGTAGGTTTTTTTATTGGCATTTTAGAAAAATTTACAGGGTTGCCCCAGAAATTTCACTTTTCTGATACCCATTAGAATTTCCTAAACATCCAATCAGCTTATC